AGCGTGTGCCTACTCCAGGCGCTGCGTGTGCCTACTCCAGGCGCTGCGCGTGCCTACTCCAGGCGCTGCGTGTGCCTACTCCGGGCGCTGCGTGTGCCTACTCCGGGCGCTGCGTGTGCCTACTCCGGGCGCTGCGTGTGCCTACTCCAGGCGCTGCGTGTGCCTACTCCAAGCGCTGCGTGTGCCTACTCCAGGCGCTGCGTGTGCCTAGACCAGGCGCTGCGCACCTAACACAGGCACGGCCTGTTCATACTCCGTGAGCGGTGAGCACCACCGTCAAGCGCGGTGTGCCACTTTGGTTCCCGCTTCAGTACTCATCTATCTTTATCTTTTTTTTAAATAATTGTAATTCACGTCATCCATCATCATCATCATACTTCATTTTTTTATATAAAACTGTAAATATCTTTTTAAATTTTAAATAAATTATTCGTTTTTATTATATTTTTGTTGTTTCGTTGTTGTTAGGTTAGGTTCTTTTGTTTTTAAATGTCGCTTTACGACAAAGTTTAAACTGTACATTACAGTTTTTTTTTTAACTGATCTTTGGTAATGAATTCGGTCATTTATGTAATTTGATATAACTATATAATTCTAGTAATAAGATTAAATGAAGGAAAAAAATATTAGTTAACCTGGTATCATTAAGTACGCCATCAGTCGCGCGCAGTGTTATCTTGCGCGCGCTATACCAATCACTCACGCGTCAAGTTAAGATGAACGGACAATATACGCCAGTATATTCATATTCTATGGTTATATTTACCTTCATTTAAAAAAAAATATTGTCTTTGGTCTGACCTACTATATATATTCTTTGGCTTGACCCACGGAAGTATAGACAAACTGGAACCCACACTCCTAATATCAACATTAGGAATAATCAAATGACCTTGAGTAACCCCTGTTTTCCCTACAGGATAGCCAACGTGACGACTGATATTACCCCATTGATAGCCATCAAGAATTTCAGTATAAGTTTAATTCTCAGTATGGCAAGAATATTAAGTAAAAAATGATAACGAAACTTGTCAAAAACGATTTTCACTTAAGTGTTTGCTGTTTCTTTTAAACACTTAATAAAGATTTACGATGAACTATTTGCCTAACTTCCTACATATTTCCCCTATTTTAGATTTATTCTTAAAAGCCGTTATATGACAACTCAAAATCTATTTGTCAAATAATTTTTACTGTACATGGCGGATGTTTATGTTCATTTCGCAAGATTGTTTTTTGAATTTTGGAATAATGCAGAGGCAAAACTAGTAAAATGGTCATTAAATTTATTGTGCGCGATTGCAAAAGTGAGTGGCATCCAGAATGTAATATTATATTTCATTCTTAAGTACAAAATACCATACAAATACTGCGCGTCATGTCAAACTGATTTTTAGTGATATTTCGACTTTAATTGTTATTATTTCTATATAGAAATATGGTTATTTTGGTTTAGATGTTCGGTATTTCCAATTTTACTTCGCTATTTGCTTAATAATTAATGTTTCATATTTGTATTATAATTTCGACTAGTGTGACCATACATTGTAATGTATTTTCATTTTAATTACAAACGGAAAAGGTTTTCTCGAATGGAATCTCTGCTCGATTTGCGTGAAATCTCGAAACGTTGTTTACACGAATGACGATACACTGAAACATCAAAATTAAAATAAATTTATATCTTTTATTACTTAATTTTTTGCAGGTTTCCTTTCAATCTAACAGAACGTAATAAATGGTTAAATAATGTGGAGCTAAAAATACCCTTTTTTGAAAACGAAAAGATTTGTAATCTTTTTCATATCAACCAATTACATCATTACTGGGAAACAACTGATTTAAGGAGTCACACCGTTTTTAAATGAAATAGCAGATTGTTCTGTGGTACAGGCATGAACTTTTGTTAGGTACTTGTTATTTTTTATTCCAAAGCGAAGTTTTGTTTCCAGGGAAGAAAAGTATTTTAAAAAAAATCTTTTTTCTGAGAAAGAAAGAAAAATGCATTCTGTTACCTACAAAATAGCTTAATATGTTATATCACTAGGCTATACTTTGTAAAAATAATTACAAGCTATTTTGTACAACATTTTGCTAAGTATTTAATTGTATTTAATGTTTTAAATGAAAATTTACACATTTAATCAAAATTGCGGTCTCAGGAAATCAATTTTTTGACAAATTTGTTACACGTATATAAGTGCTATCGCTATAAATAAAGATAAAAAATATAAAAAACAATTTATGTTTTAATGTTTTAAATGTAGTTCTAATTTATTATACAATATGCAACTTTGCCAAACGTTGAGATTCAAGACGGTCTTTGGCCTTTTTAATTGCATTAATTGCAAAGCCCCACGCTTTCCAATCCGAATCCGATTTCAAAAACTGATGATACAGATACTAATGATGAAATCGAAAACCACTTGCAGGCTTTGGAATCACAAAACACCCATACGGATTATCAGAAAACTATTCTTTATTATATTACTGGTTATATAATAAAAATATTGTCAAACAGCTGAAATGTAACGATTGTAAGAATTTGCTAATTGCTGCAGATCATTTACAAACCGATCATTTATACGTTTTGAATGTAAATAAAAATCAATCATCTGTAACATGTGTAAATAGAGGTAAATTGCTTATTCCATCCGGAGAGGTGTACAAAATTGTACTTTTTGCGGATAAAATATTTGAAAGGGCATCAAATATGAATAGTCTGAGTCAACCTTATATTAAAAATGTATTAATCAATATTATTATTCAACACTTCACACCACAGTTGCGACCAATTTTTTATTTATATATATATATATATATATATATATATATATATATATATATATATAGTGCATTTTATACGTGTTAGAGCCATACTGCAGCTATATTAGTAGTATAGTTCTAGCACGAATGGGAATAGAAACAGCTCAATCGGGGAAGGACCACACCTTCAACAGAATACCAGCGTAAAATAGCAGCCTAACGCTGTAGTGTTTCGTATGGTGAGTGTAGAGAACCGGAGACCCTTTTTACTGGAAATGAGGCATTCCATCTTAGTTCTCACGGGTGACAACGCATCTGCATTTTGATTTGTAATAGAGGATAGATGCAGATGTCTATGGGCCGCAGCAATCACTTACCATCAGGTGAACTGCATCAGCCTATGGATGACAGTATTAATTGCTCTGAATTTCATTAATCCAGAATTTAAAAATATTTTTTTATATAGGATAGGGTGACAAACGAGCACACAGTCCACCTGATGGTAAGTGGTTCCTGTGAATTTCAAACTCTTTTTTGACCATGCGTCTCAGAACGCATCTAAAAGATTTTATGGACCAAAACTTGAGTGCTGTTCGTACCAAGCGACAAAAACTTCACAAAACTATTCAATCATGTATAAAAATTGTGTTGTTGTAAAAACCTTCACCTCTAATTATTATTGTATATTTTAAATTTGTAGACACTATTTCTATTGTAATATTAAATGTAAATAAAAACGATTATTATTTTAGTTTTATTATTTCCTAATGTTACATTATAAGGGATGTAAAGACATCCTCCCGAAAACTTTAACCATGAACTCATCATGACCATCATCCTCAGCAAGGTACTGAAGGAATTTCTTTGTGGAAATTAAAAAAAAATGATTTCGCATACAAAATTGGTCACGTGACATTTTAAATTTTTTTTTTCATTTTTGGACAAAAATTATTTTAGACTTTGTTCAGGATGATGGTCTGAGTTCATGGTTAAAGTCTTTTATATTGAACCCGTTCACTCGTTTATTCGTTTATTGACAAAAAAGTACACGAATAAATAATATTAATGAATAAACTTTAATTTTTCTAATATCATGCGTTTCAATGGAACTCTACTATTTTCTATTAAAATAAAATTTTATATGTGAATATTATAATAATAAACTGATTTTTCCCCATAATATCCCAAATTCTTGTATTTTGTGTTCACCCTAATTAGAAAGAGACTGAGGGGTAATGAAAAATTTCAAGGTCGTTTTCTTGTATTTTTTATGTCATTCGAGAGTGCGGGTTCCAGTTTGTACGAAGTACATATATTTCCATGGCTTGACCATAGGTAGGCAAAGAGAATATAATAGGTAGGTTTGACTATTTTTTTATAACTGGCTTTACGGCTCTGGCTTCTTGCCCTTCTGAGCCTGAAGTTACCATGTATAATTATTCTTCATAGTACACTGCTTCACAATATGTTGATGCGTCACATTGTGCAGCCCTTGGGAGATTTTGACGGCAACTTGAGCCAGCAGACAGCTGATAGTTGGCAATGCTATCTCAAGGCGCCTAAGCAAACACCTTATCTTGAGAATCACATCACCATCAGAGCACTTGTTTCACCGTTTCCACTAATAGTTCACATGCGTAGACACACAAAATCGCACCACTTTTACGTATCAAAGTCCACTTCAAACCATTATTTAAACAAAAATACAGGAGCACCAAACCATCGCCTGTCAAGTGTCCGCCAAAAACTCTAGGTTTGACTAATGTGGTGGTTAACACAGAGTACTTTTTATATACTGGGTGGTTAATGTCGACGCCTTTGTGGTTAAATTATTTATTATAACAATAATGGATTAACAATGCGCCAAGTTAAATCTTAAAAAAGAAAAATGGACTTCTTGGTTTTTACGATGCTCTACTCAACGACTATTTAGAGCTCTTCTAGACCAAGAGTTTATTTAATAATATTATGAAATATTTCAGTTCTAGTTTTAATGACTTCTATCATAGAGTATGGTAATATATACCGGAAACTTCTATATAATTATAATATATTAATTTTAGCTAAGAATCAAACTAAAACGTTTTATTAGTTTTATCTACACCATACACACTTCATTTTGATTTTTACCTTCTATTTTACTTTTATTCTGTGCTCCAAGCCTCAAATATTATGTTATCCTTATAATGAAGTACTCTGTGAGTGTGATATGATGTTATCTGTGTATTTTATTTAGATCGATGGTGTGTCCGTCGGAGTGGCTAAATTTGCAATTAATTTAAATAAATCAAATAGTTCGTTGTTACCGATTTTTGCCTTGATAATTTGTATATAATTAGGTGCTTAGTCAATAATCAAAATGGTAAGTTTTTAAAGTATCGGTGTAAATATTGAAAAAGCAAAGAAATTGATTGAAAATTTTGATCGTTTTTGAAATTGTAGGGTGTATTCGTCCACTTTTTTCTACATTTTCCACATTTTATTTATATATCGATATAAATGTAGTAATAAGACAATATATAATTGAGTACAGTAATTAACTATACATTCTAAAATGATGCAGCTAGTTACTTTTTTTAAATAATTGAAGCTTAGTCTTAAAACTAGGAATCTGTCATGATTTCTTGAAAAGTGCAATTGTTATTCAATCGGATCATAATATTTTCCAGGGCAATGAAAATTCAATTCCTATGGAGATGTGTTCGAACTGTAAGTTTAAAATAAATATTTTTTACAATTTTGTTACTTTAGGTATATCTCAATTATCTTAATTCTGCAATCAACAGTATTTTACAATCTCCTTATTTAACTTCTTAATTTGCTTTTATGAATTGATAAGAACCTTATTTACCACTTACCTCCCAAATATTATCTTAAACTGTTTTATTTTAAAATTTCAATTTGTCTGTGAACACCCAATACTATACTTGTGAGAAATCTTGTGTAGTGATGCATCCAAGTGCAGCGTAGGGTGTGCAAACAAAAGATAACAGCAAGTTTGTTTCAGCCCGTGTTAACTGCCTTGATTTTAAGGTGGAGAACTGTGAGTGCCGTAGTGTCACTCGCCTCCAGTTGTCATCACCATGTTGACACACCGCACGTACACCTAGAAAATCCAGAACAATTTTTGCCATGACACAATATATAATTGTAGCTTTTAATTCTCTGTCTAAAAACTTAAAACAGAAACAGAAACTTTTTTAGTCAATATAGGTTATGAATAATACTTATTGAAAGTCACTCTTTTCTTTAATTTGCCACTGGTTCAATAAAAAACCTCTGTCCTGAGAAAAACCAGCAAGAAACCCAGCGGCACCTTTTATTTAAAAAAAAGAGCCTTAGATTCCAAGGCCTTTACTACTTTTTACTAGCATTTTTTTCTGTTTTATTGGATTATCTGTATTGTGTATTGTGTTAATTTAAAATTTAATTCATTACTTTATTTAATTCACACAAAAGAAAATTATAATAAAGGTATTATGATTTTCCAGTAGTGATTAGTATTAATAATAATTTTGATTGTACATTTGTAAATACGTAACAAAAATTGTTCTGGATGTATGTAACATGGAGCCATATGGCTAGTGCATCCGCGTCACTCTTGCCTCTAGACTTGTCATTAGAGTATGTGAAAGTGTGTTGTAACTTAGAAAAAATATTTTTATGATGTGTTGACATCAAGGGAGGTCTATTTAAATAATGACTCTGCTTGTCGAGACATTCAACATTTTTTAGACATTATGTATGTTAGAAACAAGCAAGTATTTTATTGTAATGGGATGTTTTGTGTTGGCCTGACGCCAAATTAGTATGTATTTGTATTGTCTTGTTTTTATTACTTTTTGTATCAAATGTATTGCTATATCTTTGGATCAAATTTCTCCCAGTCAATACAGGGATATATTTTTTATCTTTTATGTGAATTAGGGCTATGTATATAGTATCGTCATCTCATTTTACCCATTATTTGTGTTTTATTTCAGTTTTTAGTTCAGCTATTTGAGACTAAAATAATATTTAGTGATTATCTAACACTTAACAAATTACTTCTCTTGTATATTACAAATAAAAATAACATTAAAATGGTTCAAAATGTATACACCGTTAATTGGTAACTTTTTTTAAATTATAAATAAATTTCTAATTTTCTGTATTAAAAATTATAGTATTTATCATCAAATCATTATATTACATATACATTAAAATTACTACCTCCTATTTTGATCAGTTAAAAAGTAGTCCACAAAAATGTTGCTCAAAAGTGCTATAATGGATAAATGAGTTTTAATCATAGAGTGCAATAGAGTCATTTCTATTCAATATAAATTACAGGAATACTTATTGAAAGTCATTTAAGCTTTACCACAGGTTCCGACAAAACTTGTCCTGGAAAAAACCAGCAAGAAACCTAGTGGGACTTATTTAAAAAAAAATTACAATATAATATTTTATACAATGATATAGTCAATGCCATGATATTAAGTTAATGTCGCTATGTCCTGTGCCTATTGTATTCTGACACATTGCAATATTCTTATCATTTTGAGTGAATTAATATTATTTTCAAAAACTTAAAAGTGACCTCCTTTGATACAGTTCTTTAGCGAGTCAATGTTGAAGAGAGGTGATTGCTTTATGCACTGATTGTAGTAGCGGTGTGTTAGAGACGCTCTGTACGATAATAATAGAAATTAGATTGTGGCGTATCGCGTGGGCGGCGGCGAAAGCTCGCGACGTTCTAGCGACAAGCAGACACTTCCCACCGCCGCCGTGTATTTGTATTTCTCATCTGACACATGTAAAACACAGTAAGATCAGATATATGATGGGACTAGCTAACACGTGCGTGACAATGTATGGAAATGAGGGCTAATAATTTTACGCGCACCAGATGTCGCTAGTTGGGAGTGAGGTGAAGATATTTGTTACACATTGTAATCGAGAAATTACCTTTAGTAGTGGTGGTACATATATTGGTTTCTCTGTGTAAATACACAAAAAAATGCCTCAGTGGTTTGCTCTTTTATTATTTGCACATTTTTTAAGTCTTTTTTTTTTTCACTTTTAGCTTTTACTCTTTAGAATATACGTAGTTTGGTTTTTCCGTTTCTAATCTAATTAATATAAAATATAACTAATATTTCAGAAAGAAAATTTAAGCTTTACATATTCCGAACAAATTATGATTCCGTCATGAAAGTCATTTCTAAGTGACGCCGACCTGATGGCAGAAAACGAACATTTAAATTGTAAATTTTCATGCCATTGCCAGGAAATACTACACTTGATTGAATTCATTATCGTAAAGTGTGTGTAGTGCATAGGAAAAGTCATAAACACTATTTAGGTACACGTTTGATTTGCAGTGTTACCAAAGTAGAATGCTACATTTATTTGATTTTTATTTTTTTGGCATTAACTAATTATATGTTTGCCATGTAGTGTTTAAGAGAATCCATCACCCTATTCCCTTCCGTGGGTTGGAGTCATTCCGCCAATCGTCAATCCGATCCGATGATTAAGGTAAATCCTCCTTACAATGGCAGCCACATGTCCAGCTGTGGACTCTTACGCGCTGGTGAAGATGATTAAGGGTGTTTATGAAAATTCATGTAGGTACACATTATGGTGATGAACGCTGTAATTTGAATTAAATCAAAGTTTAAGACCTTGATGTTAACACTGCTGAGTTTCTTATGGTGAGTGTAGAGAACCGGAGACCCCTTTTACTAGAAACGATTCGGAACGGATCTTACGGTACGTGTACACCAAAACCGATTTTGTCGGCCGATGGCGGACAGAACTACCTGGACGCGTAACTCGGACGTGTATGTGCTTACACTGCAACAGTGTACCACGTGTGCCAACATTGAACGTTACCGGTATTCTGTAGTTGACTGTGTTGCTTAACAGGGTGAAGACACATTTTTTTTTAAATATCTGGAACCGCTATATCCATTTTTGATCCAACTTCAGCCCATAACCGTTTCGAAACCTCTCGATTATTGTAATTGTCTATTATAAATACAACTAATTAATTTTTCAATATGCATAGTCGTATAGGTAGATAACAACACTGACAAAATCAACAGAATAAATTCAAAATTATTAAATTAAACTATAAATACACTCAATTTGCACTGTAGACGCCGGCAATCTGGCGAGAAATCCCAACAAGTTCGGACTCAACGGTTTATCGGCCGATTTCGTGCGTTATCGGACGATGACGGTCGTGTTTATGTACGCACTCTCTTTCTTTTATACTAGTTGATTCGATCGTTCGAGTTCGGCCGTCATCGCCCGAGCAATCTTCGGCCGTTGACGGATTAGGTGTACGCGTATCGTAGCTAGTCCTCATGGGTGACAACGCATCTGAATTTTAATTACCATCAGGTGGACTGTGTGCTCGTTTGTTACCCTTATCCTATAAAAAAAAGTTAAATGCGTTCAAAATATAAAAAGCTGATGATGAATGATTAATGATTTAGATCATTTTTAATATGTAAAAATGAAACTTGTAATTACAAGTTAAAAACCTCAAGACTTCAAAGAACTAAAAAGAATAAATAATTTCCACATAAAAGCTTCGGTACTATAATTAGCGAACATGAAAGTCTAGTGGTGACCGTTATTGCGCATAAGTCGAAAATAAGGTATCACCGACGTGCGTCGTTAGCCGGGTACCCACCTAGCACACAGGCTCGCGCGGCAGCCTCGGTATGTGGCTCGTGAGGCAGCCTCAATATTATTGTCCGGAACTGAGAGGCATGCCTCGCGAGGCAGGCTAAGCCATCATAATTCCTCGAGCATCCGAAATGGACAGTTGTGTAATTGCAGCTGCAGCTACTTTCCTAGTTGCTTATTGTTTAAAAATACGAAAACAGTCTTTTGGATCCCACAGCATCTTGTACGTACCGTACAGTTGAATTAAACGAATCGACTCATCCTGATTGCTCATGATATTATATAATTAAAATGACTTCAGTAAAACTAAAACAAACACTATAGCCTCGCGAGCCAAAATACCACATTGAGGCACCTTTGGGCGCGTCAAGTTTACCGACAACGTATGGCTCGCGGTCGAGTGGCGCTCAGGCGAGGCAACGTGCGCCCGAGGCAGCCCGAGGCACGTCCACATCAGCCGAGGCGAGGCTGCTGCACGAGCCTGTGCGCTAGGTGGGTACCTGGCTGGCACGCGCTGATTGGCTCGCGCGTATCGTTCACACGCGCTGATGGGCTCTCCAGTCGCAATGGTGCAATTCAATTCGTGCGCGACAGTACCCATGCGCAGCTATCCCCTCCACGTTTCGTTCAGCGCTAGACTTACGTGCAACGACTTATACGAGACATAGTGTATACATCAGAATTGCACCCCGACTTAGGAACTTTTGTGTGGAAATTATTTTATTATTTTTAGTTCCTTGAAGTTCCTTGAAGCTTTTACTTTTCATTCAAAGTTTATTTCTTTGATTGGGCTAAGGTACATCATAAGCTCAAGGCAATAACTAGAATGTTGTCTTAATACATGGGTGCAATTTTTTCTCTTAATTGATACATTTTTATAATTTATTTATTCAAACAAAACGTTTGTCGGTGAGTACACGCTCTTAAAACTATTTTGTTTTTAAATAGAATGAGGACGATAAATAAGCATACAGCTCACCTGATGGTAAGTGGATACTATGGCATATAGACATTTACATTTATCCTCGATTAAGAATCAAAATGCAGATGCGTTGTCACCCCTGAAGACTATGATGGAATGCTTCGTTTCCAGTCAAAAGGTTCTCCGATTCTCTACACTTACCATACGAAACAGAATACAGAATTCTGTAAGAGCGTGGTGCTACCCCGGTCGAGTCGACCCATCCGTGCTACAACCATAACATAGCTGCAGCTTGGCTCTACCACGTAAAAATAAAATATATATTATCACATGTCATTATGCATCATCACCAACAATATAAATACTAACTACTAATATAATTATGAAAAAGAAAATCAAAATATAATAATCATAGGCAACTGCAATTCATTACATAATTTGGCACCTCCCCTGAAGTTTATCCTGTTCAATATAATCATTAAAATCGCTTCACAATAATTATTGACAAAGATAACGCGTAACATGCATACAAAAAAAAAGAAAAGAAAAAACATACATTCGAATTGAGAACGTTCTCCTCTTCTTTTAATTCGGTGACATATGTTGATACTATTTTTATATCTCTGATTTATTATCGGGCTTAAGCGGCCATTGTGTTGCCCTTTATATTACAGCGCAGCGTATACATTCTCGTATCGGACAAGTCATAAAACACATTCAAAGTGTTTCGTGAAAATCCGACTTGTTTATCGCCCAGCAAACAAATACGTAAAATAATGAATGGAAACAGGCGTTACATTGCGGAAATCCATTATATTATGTCTTTACTTATGAAATTGCTGTTTTTTATGTAATAAGTTAACGTAATTTTTTTCTACATTTTTTTTTCTACTAATCAAAGTAATCACCCATGTAATCGATCCATCTCTGCCAACGCAGTGGCAGTTTATTGATACCTTTCTTGAAGCTCATTCCCGGTATCTATGGGTATGCAGACGGCAGCACAGTTGTGGAGAGATACCAACCAATTGTGCAGGCCAGTTGGGATCAAATCCACTTAGAAAGAGAGGCTATGGTTGAGCGTGTGAGTCTCACGACACTACAGGCCGCCTCCGAATGGGGCGATGCCAATCTCATGAGATTTAACACCTCCAAAATACAAGCGTGTCTTTTCATCGCTAAAAGGAGCCCGCTCACCTTGGCTCCTACTTTCCGGAATGTATCTTTGGAGTACAGTGACCGCCTTCAGTTGTTAGGGGTCGAATTTTCTCCGAACCTAAACTATGGGCGGTTCATTGAGTCCAGAGCCAAAGCAGCCGCAAAGAAACTTGGTGTCCTTGCAAGGGTGCGGCGGTACTTCACGCTGGGACAGCTTCTTATAAATAAAGCGCAAGTCCGGTTGTGCATGGAGTACTGCTGTCACATATGGGCTGGTGCTGCAAAATCCCACCTGGCAGCGTTGGACTCAGTGGAGAGACATGCTAAGAGGCTCATTGGTGACCTTGATTTGGTTGAAACCAATCTTTTCCGCCTCGAGCACAGGCGCAGAGTAGCCAGTCTCTCGGTATTATATAGGACGCAATTCGGTGAGTGTGCGCAGAAATTACACGCTTTAACTCCTCCCTCTCCTTTCCACCATCGGACAACCAGGCGGACGGCGGGTCTTCATCGCTTTGTTGTCGGTATTCAACGCAGTAGAACCAAACGGTTTGCTTCGTCTTTTGTAATGTGTACAGCAAAGGAGTGGAATAATTTGCCGGCTTCTATCTTTCCGTCCGAATATAATCTGGGCGTCTTCAAGGCAAAAGTGAATAGGCTTTTGTTACGCTAAGACAGTGCGATTTACCATCTAAGGCTGCATCACCACGTACCACCAAGTGGGATTTTCGTCAAGCACTGGCTTATAATAAGTACAAAAAAAAATCTGCTGGACGGGAGGCAACAGTTTCTTCAAAGGCATTTTGTAATACCTCTCGGGTATTGATTTTTTTTCCAAATTCTGGAAAAAGTAACTTGTAACTTGGAGACCGTCTGTTGTTCAGTACGAGGTCGCGCGTTGTCGTGCAGGAGCAGCGGGGATGAGCGATAGACCAAAGCTGGTTGGAGACGTGTGAGCTTCTCCATCATTGTGTTCAGTTGACTGTACACATCTGCAGTAATGCAGTCAGTGCAATTTCATAGTTAAAGACCTATTATTAAAGATTAATTAGCTGAGATCCGCGTAAAAATAAGAATAATGTGTCGTGCCTAGTTTGAAGAGCAACTTCCGTCCTCCCTAATTGCGTGCACTATCCCCGTCTCCAAATGCATGTGACGGGACTTACGCAACTTCAATACAGCTCGTATTGAAGAAGCGATCGAGCGGAACCAGGGCTCCAAAGTCTGGCAGAGATCTGTCTGCCAGAAAGAGCTGTCGAAGCTGAAGACCGAATCTGGCAACATCGTTTCCGAGGCACCTGAGATGTTGAGTGAAATTGAGAAGTTCTAATGGCTGCTGTACACGTCAACGTTGGAGCCACACGCAAGTGTGAGTAACGATGCAAGAGCAAGTCTTATCCGACATAATTCCGACGATAACCCGAATGTCAGTCTGAGCGAGATTAGAATGGCTCTCCAGCACCTTAAAAACGGCAAGGCCCCGGGCGAGGATAGAATTACAGGGGAACTTCTGAAACCAGGTGGAAAACCAGTACTTGAAGTCCTCCAGAAGCTCTTTAATTCCGTCCTCCATGGTGGGATTACTCCGGAGGCGAGGAGCAGAAGTGCGGTGGTCTTGCTCTTCAAGAAAGGCGACTACGTTCTCTTGAAGAACTACAGACAGATTTCCCTTCTGAGCCGTGTCTACGTACTGTTTACAAGAGTCATTACGAGTCGTATCGCACGCAGACTCGACGACTTCCAGCCTCCCGAACAAGCCGCTTTCGAAAAGTCAAGTACCATAAACCACATACATACCCTTCAGCAAATCGTACAGAAGACCGAAGAGCACAATCTGCCACTTTGTGTTGCGTATGTGAACTATGAGAAAGCCTTTGATTCCGTCAAAATTTGGGCGGTGCTACAGTCCCTTCAGCGGTATTAAGTTGACTGTTTTGCGGTATATCGAAATGCTGAAGTGTTTGTACAGTAGGGCTACGATAGTTATCCGAGTACAGAACCAGAGTACGAAACTTATCCAACTGCAGAGAGGTGTAAAACATCACTCACCTTCTATTTGCCGACGATTTAGTCCTTATGGCAGAATCACTGGAGAACCTAAGTACTATTCTCAATGACCTCAATAGAGCCTCCCAACGGAAAGGTCTTAAGACGAACGTCGACAAAACAAAGATCAAAAAAGACAAAAGAAAGATGTAACTTCCATGTCACACCTATGCCGGTAGTTGTTGAGAGTGCTAAGCTTGAAGTTGTTGACGAGTATGTTCAACTGGGACAAATAGTCCGACCAGGTAAGTCCAACTTTGACCGAGAAGTCAATCGACGGATTCAATTGGGCTGGGCAACGTTCGAGAGATTGCGACCTATCTTCTCGTCAGATTTACCTCAAAACTGGAAAAGTAGATTGTACAACCAGTGCGTGTTGCTAGTGATGACCAATGGAGTAATAAACTGAAGTGGCAATGGGCTGACCATTACCTTTAAGAACCGACAACCGATGGGGAGGAAAAGATCTCGAGTGCTAGCCTCGTACTGGTAAGCGAAGTGTGGGGCGGACCCCCATTAGATGGAGTGACGACCTGGTAAGACATGCAGGAAGTCGATGAATGCAGGTGGCTCTGCACCCTGTTTTGTGGCAATCCATGGGGAAGGCGTATGTTCAGCAGTGCACTTGTGATGGGCTGTAATGATCAATGAATGATTGATGATGGTACAGCCACGCTGCAGCTATATACATGGCTGCTGTCTGAATCGGTCGGTTTGCCGGGTCTGGTGCCACTCTCACAGAATGCCAGCGTGAAACAGCAGAATAATGCTGCTGTGTTTCGTATGGGAAGTGTAGAGAATCGGAGACCATTTTTACTGGTAATGAGACCTGTCTCATTACCAGTAAAATTCCAAAATGCCATCCTGTTCTTCTGGGGTGACAATGCGTCTACAATTTAATTCTGAATCGAGGACGGATGTATGTAGATGTCTATGTGCCACGGCCGTATTTAGGACGTATTATTTTTCTTTTTTTTTAAACGTTACACTAAGATTTTTAAACACTAGGATTTTCACCTGTATCGTGAAGGCTGTTCACATACATAAATTGCACAAGGACAAACATCCAGACCCGGAACAATTAATTGTAGGCCATACAAATACTCTTTCCGTGCGGAATTGGAACCAGTGGCTTTAGGCGGCAGAACTTAATAATAAGCCACTGCTCCGTGGAGCTGATTCTGAATATGATTATATAAATCTGCTTTAAAACCTGTGAATAAAACTTGTGACCTAATTAGTTCAGGCGAGCAAGTCACCCTTTGCAAATTGGGTTATATCTAAACCGTTTAATCGGTTGATGGCCAATGGGATGGCTAAGGTTGTACATGGCAGTAAGGTAACCAAGGCAATTAACGCCCACCTAACTTAAAATGAAATTTGTGATGTTATTAATTAATGAAATTATTTATACTGTATATTAAAGGTATTTTAATATATTAGTTAATTGAAAAATGCTAATTTTGATCTATTATTAATTACAGTTCCACACCAATACAACTTTTAAAAAAACCCAATTTTGGGCGTTATTATAAATACATAGTTTATTAACGCCCGTTTAAGTTGAGGAACGAATAATGCAGTTATGGTCATTATATAATTGAAAACCACACATAATTCGGATGTTACTTATATTTTTTCTGATAAGAATACAAAATGTAGGTAAATAATCAACAATAAACATAAAAAATAATAAACTTCGCACCACATGTAACATTACTTGTAAATTCTTTTTAATCATCATTATTAAAAAAAAATCGATGCTACATTTAAATTAGTAATAATTACTAGCATAATAGCTTTAAATAAGTTTAAAAAAGAAACATTTTTTTTTTTTGGTTTAGTGGGCGTTATTATACGATGGTGGGTTATTGCGCCCTGTACTATAGTAGGTAATATCGCCCTAGAGCTAGGTAATATAGACCATTCGTAATGAGAGTTACTTCACAAACTAATGTTTTATAATTATAATGAGATCAGGTAATTATCACAGTTACATAAAAAATAGAGGACTACTGTCAATTACAAACAAACCATTTTTTAAACTATAGTATGATACAATATCAATCAGTCTTTGAATATCAAACCGAACAGTTAACTTGCTCTATCTTAAAGTCATTAAATAGTATAAACTAGATTAACACTCGGAACAAATAAATTCTTTATCACATTTTGATAGTCCTACACACTCTTCGTGGTACCATCTTTTACAAATTCCACATTGACGCATATCTAACTTCTTATTTTCAAAACATGCATAGCAGTACCACTCTTCGGTATCATCTTTTCCTTCATTTATTTGCTTCTTTTTTCTCTGTTGTTTTTTCGTTATATCTTTACACTTTAAAACTTTTTTCTTAGTGTTTACTTCATTGGTGTTAGGATTTTTCTTATCTAATGTATTCTTCTTCTGTTGTTTATTTGTTTTAGCATCAACCTTGCTATTTATTTTATTTTTTTGTTGTTTCTCACTTTTTTCTGAAAATAGATCCTTAGTTATTCTTTGACCTTTATAGTTCATCGCTTTTTTACGCTGTCCTTTTGTTTTAACTTGTGCATAATTGGGAGTTGGCAAAAAAATTTGGAATGGTGTCTTATTACTTTGTTTCTTTAAATTAATATTATAATCTCCATCTGAGACACTGAAGTTCTCAGCATTTGTTTTGTACATTTCATATGAGGAACTAATAATAAGTTTCTTAGGTGTTATTTGCCCTTTAGATATAAAATACTGACTTTCATCATCTTCGGCTGACGAGTAACTATATACGTCTTCAGCTGCGCATTTTTTAAAGGGAGTCATATGAACTAAAGTATCTAATCAGAAATTGTGGAGTCAGAACTCGAGCTTGGACGAATAGCTCTATGTAATCCCGAACAACTTGGAACTCCCAAATCTATTTTATAATTATCCTCATTGTCTAGAAGTGGTTCGTCATTCGCACTTACCAATAAAACGTCATTTTCTGGAATTAAAGAGGGTGAAGCACAGTGTTCTCCCACCTGTGTTGCTGTTCCATGTGGATTTTCTAACATTTCTAAGTCAGAAACATCGGGTGACGAGCTATAGTCAACAAGACGGCGTTTAACTCTAGGAAAGTTTTCAGTTGTTGAAGGGACGATTGGTCCCAAATCAGTTGGTTGGTTAAGGCCAGGGTATTCGTCTAACTCCAATACATCAGATGTAGAGTTCTGCAGGAGCCAATCACAAATTGGTAGATCGTCATCAGTGTCATCGTTTAATATGACGCCAGATATAGGACTTTGAATGGGCTCCACGCTAGTTTGTGGGCATGCAATTTCAGACAAAACTGACGGGGCATATGCTTCCTCCGGTATAGCTTCTGGATTAAACGGAAATAGTCCTGTTGCCGCAAATCCATTTACAATGTTGCTATGCGTAATGCATTTGGGCCATACTTGACTAAATATCCTATTAAACGTGGTTTTTGACATTGTTCTATCAGGGTTTGTGTATAAGAAGTTCAGAACTGCTTCATCCCAGTGGTGTTCATACGACTTATTGACTGATTTGTCTAAGGGCTGAAGCTCGTGCGTTGTATTGGAAGGGAGGCAATACAAAACTATGTTATTTTTATCAGCTTCATCTAGAACTTCGATTGACAAGTGACATTTGGCACCATCAAATATAAGTAAGCATTTTCCAGCAACCTTGTATTTCGCTAGGTGCTTAATGAACTCCAAAAACAAATCAGCAGTCATACTGCCTTTCGGTGCCATCCTGACTAACGTCCCTGCTGGTAAGTTTTCACATAGATCAGGCCTCTGTCTTTTTCCTTTAAATAGGATCATAGGTGGTATCGCAGTACCAATGGCATTCACGCACATTGCTATCGTAACATTTTCCGCATGTTCAGGGGCAATGAGATGAACTCTTTTGCTTCCTTTCTCTGCTAAAACTGTGTTCTGCTTGTGTACAGTTATCCGGCATCCTTTTTCATCCATATTGTACAATTTTTGTGGATGTTGTAGAATATCCATCTCATTGTACAATTTTTGCACACTCTGAAAATGTTGCTGAACAATTGGTTTGTTCAATTTCTGTGCACGAGCTGGATTCATTATTTGGGGCTTTCGTTTGCTAATTGAGGGATTCCGCTTTAAAAAGTATCTCAACCAATCAGTACCAGCAATTCTTTTGGAATTATTAAAATTATTTTTTATTTTGTATGTTTCACAAAACATATATGCTTGTTTCCTTATGAATTTTGGCGTGAGGGGTACACCAATTTTAGCGAATCTTTTTATTCGTTCTACGAGGTCATTTTCTTGGTGTTTTCTTTTTAAATGATCCCTCAATGTTCTTCGCGGAATATTATGCCTGGAAGCTGCAGCACGCTGAGACAATTGGCCTCTTTGAACAGCATTCATTGCTGCTTGCAAGCCTCCTTCAGTCCACAATTGCCCTCTTTTTTCACCCTTGGACCTTGTTGGAGCCATTTTACTAACCTGCGTAATAATTAACATAAATAATAAATGTTTTCCAAAATTATAGATTTTATTACTTAACTAAGTTTTATTTTAGATTTAGTTTGGTATCGTACAGCTAAATTTCTTTAGACATGATTAAGAAAATTTTGTATTGAAATAACATAATAAATGTATTAAGCCTAATAACGCCCATTTGTCAGTTAACAACGCATATAGGCTAATACCGCCCAACTGTTTTTTACTGGGCGTTGTTACCCGGAAGGGAATTGTTATTCAATCCACGTATTTTAATACAATATTACAAAAATAAAGTCAAAATATCATAGCACATACTAGAAAAATTAGTAAACTAGTAAATATTACAAGAAATTTTACGAAAAATGCGGTAAAACAAATAAAAACTTACAATTTGCTGGAGCAATTTTTATAACAGTGGTGTTCACAACCGACGTTCGATATGCGAAGCGCGTCACTGTCAAGATGGCGGCGCTAGAGCATGGTCGTCGTACTCGTGCATTCGTATGGGTGTATTTCATGTGTGTGTGAGGTGTAACACGAATCATAACAAATTAATAACGTTTTCATAAGACTGGGCGTTATTAAACCACGGGCGTTAATTGCCATACCTACCTTATATTGGAACTTATCCTTTATTTATGTAAACTTAACTCCTAAGTTAAAAATAAAACTTGTATTTCGTCCATATATTATAGTTCGTTTTTGCTTAAGTACATTCTGTGTACTAAATATCGGGAATTTGTCAATAAAAGAAAAAATACAAATTATTCATCTAAATTTATTTTATCGCCTTCAAAGTAGGCCCCATCGCTTGCAATACAACATCTCCAACGCTTCACCCAGTCTTCCTTACATTTTTCATAGGCTATTTGCGGTATGGCCTTTAGCTCATTTAGCGAATTTTTTTTATGGCTTCTATCGACTCAAAACGTTTTCCTCGAAGTGGTAATTTTAACTTGGGAAATAAAAAAAAAATCAGACGGAGCCATATCAGGTGAATACAGTGCTTGGTCGAGAACTTTTGTTGAATTTTTCGCTAAAAACTCTTTCACTATAATGGCTGTGTGTGATGGTGCATTATCATGGGTCAGCATCCATGAGTTGTGTTGCCACAAATCTGGACGTTTTCGGCGGATACTCTCACGCAAACGCTTCATGACCCCTAAATAATATTCTTTATTCACTGTTTCTCCCTTTGGAAGGAATTCGGAGTGAACCACACCACGGTAGTCAAAAAAAACTGTCAGCATCACCTTGATTTTGGAGCGACTTATCCGCGGTTTTTTGGGTTTCGGCTCGTTTTCGAGACGCCATTCTGAAGACTGTTGGCTTTTTTGCATGTCGTACTCATAAACCCATGTCTCGTCGCCAGTTATTATACGTTTCATAAAGGTCGGATCCGTAGAAGCTCGGGAAACCATGTCTTCAGCGACATGCTTTCGCTGCGCTCTTTGAACAAAATTGAGCTCTTTTGGAACTAGTCGAGCGGCGACGCGTTTCATGCCTAAAATGTCAATGAGAATGTTGTGGACGGACTTAAAAGATATGTTCACCTCACTAGCCAACTCTCTCAGACTCATACGTCGATTTTCGAGCACTAGCTTCTTGATTTTGTCGATGTTTTCTTTGGTCGTAGCGGTTGAAGGTCTACCAGAACGAGGCAAGTCTACTACTAATTCTCGGCCTTCTTTAAAAGCCTTATACCATTCATAAGCCTTTGTTTTCGATATACACGATTCGCCGTAGGTATTTCGCATTTTCCATTGTAAAAATCGCCGAGAACTCAAAACTATGACCAACAAAAAGTGTAGTTTAAAACAAATTAAATGACAGATCCCGCTCAAACTTTGCGCGCTAAATCAGTACAGTGCTACCAACATGCAGTAAAAAAATTAGAACGACCTCTTTTACGCGGGTCTTTTTATTGACATATTCCCGATACTTTTTACACAGAGTTGTATTAAAACAATTTATGTTCATCTTCCTGATATAAATTACTGTGACTTGTTCTTCTTGATAATGACGTAAGTTCTTGCATCACTGTTCATTATTTTGTTATTTGTATGTGTTTAAAGGTCAAATTCCCTAATCCCTATGGTCAAAGATAGATGATGAAATTGCTAACACAAAATTATATACTTAAAATATCAGTATCGGATAAAACGTATCATGCCGTGGTGAATACAATGATGTCTTCTGGACGCGTGACTTGCACGTAGATGTGCACTTGTTTCCGATGTCGTCCCGCGCCTTGTTGGCTTTTTGAAAACGACACAAAGGCGAAAGACCTGAACTTTGGGTACAATGTCGCGCTATGTGCTTTAGTTTTAACTTTTGTGTGTGTGTGCGTGCGTGCGTGCGTGCGTGCGTGCGTGCGTGCGTGCGTGCGTGCGTGCGTGCGTGCGTGCATGCGTGCGTGCGTGCGTGTACTAGTATCTGGTACTTATTTATTTGTAAAGCGTGATTAGAAAAAGTATGGTATATGTTTTTTCTGCCGACTTCCAAAAAGGAGACGGTACTCAATTCGACTGTATGTTTTCTTATGTGTTACCTCATAACTTTTTACTTGATGAACCGATTTCGATGATTCTTTTTTTATTTGAAAGCTGGCACTTCTCGTGTTGTCTCGGTCGTGATCACAGTCAGACCAATGGTTTTTGAGTTATTCTTAATAACTTATATTGAAGTCAGCTGTACAAAATTTTTAATTTTAAATTATTTTAATACAAGAGGGGGCAAACGAGCATGTGGCTCACCTGATGGTAATTACCGTCACCCATTATCAACTACAACACTAGGGTAATTGCAGGTGCGTTTGCGACCTTTAAAAAAGAGTAGGCTCTTGAAGTTCCTTAAATCGTATGGGTCTGGAAAAATCGCTGTTGGTAGCCGATTCCACAATGAAGTTGTGCGAGGAAAAAAGCTAAAAGTGTATAGTCAGAAAAATATCAGAAATTAATTATATTCATGCGTTGTAGAGCCACGCTGCAGCTATATTATGGTTGCAGCACGATGGGCCGGCTCGACCGAGGCAGGACCAGGCTCTCACAAAATACCAACGTAAGATAGCAGCTCAATTCTGCTTTTTGTATGGTGAGTGTAGAGAACCGGAGACCCATTTTAATAGAAACGAGACATTCCATCCTCTGAGGTGGTGATTACGCATTTGAATTTTGATTCTTAATCGAGGATAAATTTAGATATCTATGAGCAACTAAATCCATTTACTACCTTATTATAGAAGAAAAAAAACTCATACTATAGTAAATAAAGAATTGTTAAATAAGGTCTGTGTTATTCTATAATTGGAAATTAGATTAAATTAAACTATTACTGATTTTATCGCGTTTAATTGAACTTTTTAATTCCCGACATTTCGGGTGCTTTACAACACCCATGGTCACTGGGTCACCATGTAATGTCTTTTATTTTCGTTTTGTACAGTAGATTTAAAATTATAATTGGATGTATAGCAAAGTTTACATTTAATTATATATATTGACAATAAACTGAAAATTTTAGTAACCGCTACCGTTGCAGCCTATTAACGTCCAGTGTAGAACATAGACCTATCCCATAGATTGCTTCTTAGGGGAGATATTTGCTATAGTTTACATGATTGATAGGTGCGTTGGCCACAGCAGTTTTTCATTATTTTGAGTTGTCTGGAAGGTGTTTCTGCACAGCTCCTGTTTCATATCTCTCTGTCACCCCTCTCACGAGACCCACGGGACGACATGGGGTAGTGCATTCTCTTATGCCACCGCTGCACGGTTTATGGAAATTTTTAGTTTAGTGTAATATAATTAACAATTTGCAATAAATATCAATTCTCCGGAGACCCTTTTTACTGGAAAAGTGGCATTCCATCTTAGTCCTCACGGGTGTCAACGCATCTGCATTTTGATTCGTAATCGAGGATATATGTAGATGTCTATGGGTCACAGCAACCACTTACCATCAGGTGGACTGTGTGCTCGTTTATCACCCTTATTAACTTCCTTCTGCGTAGCATTGAAAGGAAGTTAATGGTTTTAGCTGGCAGTCTGTTAGTCTGTATGCCGACACGATAACTTCTGTTCCACTGGACCGATTGACTTTAAATTTGGATACCTTGAGGTAGTAGCTCGGTCTAGTTTGAATTTGGGTCCTGTAGGTCAAAGGACACCAGAGATATGGGATTCACGCAGAAGGAAGTTGTTTTTCTTGAATTTACATTCAACTCGTTCTATAAAAAAAAGAAGTTTCGTATAATATGTAAATTCAAAGATCCAGTAGTAAATAGTAATAGTAATTTGAAATAACCATATTATGTTTAATAAATGCTATTAAGTATTAACCGTAAAAAACCCCTATCTACTACATACGCATTTATAGTTCAAAGTGCGACACGAATTAAATGAACCGAATGAATCCATTAATCGCATCAATGATTAACGTTTAATCGAGCTCGCTAACGCTCACATAATATTATGTGTTAGGTTAGGTTATATTACGTCTCTTATTCGCGATTCTCGAAGCAGTGAAACTTAGTTCAGTCGTTACCAGATGGAAAATTGAAAAGCCCTGACAAATTAGCTGAAAGTTTCATAATTAATACGTTAACAGGTCTGAAAAAGATAGATATTTTCATAAAATTTGTTTACATTTGAACTAAACATATTATCCCCAAGATTACTATCTATCTAGTGACTAGTGTAAATATACCAAATAGAAATTGGAAGACGGCGTAGTATCTATTTTGTGGTTTAGTTGTTCGTTTGAATAATAGGTACCTAGGCCGTGTTCCCATTACAATTCATTACTTTTATACAATGAGTCTATTGTTATACATAGATCACTCCAAAGTTTTTGTATTTTGATCGGATGCAATCGTAGAACAGACGTGCACGTTAGATGCGGCCTCCTATCGGCTTGGCAATTTTTAAGGTTCCGTACCCAAGTTTCCACAGAATGTGTATTTCTGTTGCCGCTATAACGACAAATAATAAAAATAGAAATAAATTAAAAATTAAAGGGTCCTCCCCTACTAGAAACGTGTATTACGTTGGTGCGGAACCCTTCATGCGCGAGTCTGACTCGCACTTTGCCGGTTTTTTATTTGTCTAAAGCCTTTATATTTTCATTTTACCTTATAGTGATATTTCCGACACTCGCAAGACGCAAAATTAACTAACTCATTCCCTGCTTCGCATACTCCATATGGCTCACAGTTATGTGGAGTATACGAATTATATTGCCTTACTAGAAAATCGGACTGTCAATATTTATGTTAATTTTCTTCGCCAAAACAATACTAACCAATTAGTTGATAATATTATACTGCATGCGTCATGATGTTTACTTTATACCGATCACTTTCACAATAATATAAGATATACAAGTAAATCAAAAGAGAGCGAGGTTTATTGAAGGAAAACGAAAACCACTTGACTTTCCGGAATCTTTATTCAATATCTTATCACTCCAACGCGTTTCTTATTTTATTTTATTAGGTTATAGCGCGCGAAGATCATCCAATAATAGACATTAATTTGTTTGCAATAAATGATATATAAGGCTTTAAATTAAAAAAAAAAATTTTATATTGTCTCGTTTTATTTTAACTTTTCAATCCTCCTCGAGACTAGTTTCGTCTGGAATTAAAAGGTTAAAATTAAATGCGATAAATCCATAAAAGTAGTTTTATTTAATGTGTAGTATTAATATAATATAACGTAAATATAAGAAATCATTCGAGTACTTATTTGTTACATCATACGCTTTTGTTTTCTGCGAATTGCATGTCGGTGTTATTATATTATGCTTCATAGACTATTAGAGACTAAATTGTTATATGTTTTGGAACATAAATCATTTTCAAATAATCTAATTAAGACTCCTTATATACGGACCCTAACAAATTTGAAATTTATTAACTTGTGAATTTAGCTTCATGTATTTAATGAAAGTTACATGAGATCAAATATCTATACCTACATATAAATAAAATTAAAGTATATGTCTGATATTAAAATAACTGGCTTCTATTAAGCTCAGTATTAATTGCATGCTATTAATAACTAAAACAATCGTTTAAAAAAAATGTTGTCTGTCTGTCTGCGGGTTTATTATAGGAATGGCTGAACCGATTGTGATGAAACTTTACGAACAGATAGAGAGCAATTCCAGGAGGAATCTAGGCTATATTTTATCCGAAAAACTTGGATTTAAAAATCTAAATAACCTCACATTAACAGATGCTATCCAAGCGACGCCAGGGCGGGATACTAGTTTAAAATAATTTAATTAATATTTCATATAAAGAAGTTAATTATTACATCACAATCGCTTATTTGGAAATTAATAAGGGTCCATTTTTTATTAAGGTACGTGAGGGTAACATGGTCACCTCAAGCTTTGTCGCCCTATAAAATCAAAACTTGGAAGAGGACAAAGACAAAAACACAAAGTCGTATACTTTAGCTAATATATTAAGAAAAGAATATCAAACAAACTTTGGCAATAATTAAGATCATTTCGAAAAATCAGCTTAAAAAAACAGTCAATGACAAAATATATATACTACAATGTCTACTGTCAAAATGGCGACGTTAAAGCAGCCCGCCCTTTTAACCTTTTATTATTTGATTGTACAGGTGATATTATCGTATCACATATCACATATGTGCTATCGTATCACAGATCCATCTATGCAAACAAGGCTGTAGTTTTTGTGTTATAGGAAAGTGACCATATTACCGTCACGTACCCTACATAATGGAGGAGCATGGAGTAGGATTGTGAGAAATTAAAAAACAGAAATCACAAACCCGTTAACATTCAGCGCTCGTCAAGGCAATGTGTACATGCTACTCGTGTCTGAACAATGTGTAGAGTTAGCGACGGAGTCGTTGCAAACGCTGTTGTATGACGCTTGTTGTATTTTTTTTTCGTCTATACTAGAGCTTGCAGAACCGGAGCCGGTTCCTCATTTTTTATAACCGGTACTAAAAGAGGTTTGGAACCGGGATTCCCGGTTTTGAGTGTATTTTTTAAAGTTGTCATTTTTCCTAATTAAATTGATGGCAGTATGTTTGCCAATCGTGTAGCGTGTACCTATAAATCTTTTAAGCACTTGCGCTTAAACTTAAAACATTTTTTTTTAAAAGCAATCAAGTATATTATTTTATTAATAAATCCAGTCTGTCTAGGTCGAAGCCTAAAAAAATGGAAAGGAAATAACTCTTATTAACTAAGTATCTATTAATCTAACTGATTGCAAGGAAGAATTAAAGAGTAACACTGTACAAAATCATGATACAATTAATCTATTTGAAAAACCGAGTGCACCGGGATGCTGCTAAGATTCAAAAAACAAGAGCCGGGACATACCGGGAATTCCAGAACCGAAAATTTCCTGTTGCATGCCCTGTTTATTCTATATGTATATAGTATACAAAGCTCGATGCCGACTCTAATGCGGCTAAATTTATCAAAACTTAACTGACTTTGCCTTCAACTAAAGTTACTGTCTTGCACACTAAAACTACGTTCGAGGGTTGAATATCAATGATGACTCATAATATTCCGCACACCAGATGTCGCTAGTTAGGACTGAAGTGATGTTTTAAATCGACTTCGAAAAGGAGGAGGTACTCAGTTCGAATGTATTTTTTATTCTTTTGCTTGTTACCTAATTACTTTGTTATAGGTGAAGCGATTTCGATGATTCTTTTTTTTTATTTGAAAGCTGGTACTTCCCACGTGGTCCCATATAAATTTGATCAAGGTCTGACCAGTAGTTTTTGAGTTTTTCTTAGTAATTTATATTGAAGTCGGTTGTACAAAACTTTTCATTTTACCACTTGTTAATTAAACAATGTCATTTAATTGAGAAGTTGCTTTTAAATAAAAAGTTATTTCAGTTTCTAGAGTATTATATTAATACACAAAACAACGCCTCAGTCGTTTGCTCTCTAATTTTTTTGCACATTATTAAATCTTTCTTTAATTTTTCTACTTTTAAGAATAACCGTTTTCTAATCTATTTATCTATTTAATATAAAATATAATTCTAATTTTATATGAAGAAACCTTAACCTTTACATTTTCCTAATAAATTGACTTCCCCGCTATGAAATCTGTCAAATATTTCACCTCATTCCAAAGCGGCGCCGCTCTGGTGACAGAAAAAATCGTAGATGCTCTCATTGTTACGTCGCACAACTCAGTCACCTTAGTTAAAGGCAAGTAGCGATCGCTTATTCAACGCTCTACGCCAATGTCACTGGACAGTCTAGATAGTTTTGAGTACGTAAGTTGATTCAGTCGGAGGCTTCTTCCGAGTCTCTGCGTGGCGTGGAGCGTGAATAGGCGCCCGTGGGGTCCGGTGCTAAAGTGTGGCTGCGCAGTCGATGCTGACGAGATCCGGCGGCTGGGCAAGCGCTTCCGGAAGCTGGACCTGGACAACTCCGGCGCGCTCTCCATCGACGAGTTCATGTCGCTACCGGAACTGCAGCAGAACCCACTGGTGCAGCGCGTCATTGATATATTCGACGCTGATGGCAACGGAGAGGTGAGTGCTTGAAATTCAGAATAGAATAGAAAAGTATATCCGCCATCTTTTTTCTATAGAATAAGGGTGTCAAACGATCACACAGTCTACCTGATGGTAAGTGGATGCTGTGACCCGTAGACATCTACGTCTATCCTCGATTAAGAATCAAAATACAGATGCGTTGTCATCCCTAAGGGCTAAGATGGAACGCGTTGTTCCCAGTAGAAAGGGTCTCCGGTTCTCTACACTCGCCATACGACACACAGCAACATTGAGCAGCTATTTTACGCTGGTATTTTGTGAGAGCGTGGTCCTAACCCGGTCGAGCCGACCCATTCGTGCTATAAATAATATAGCTGCAGCATAGCTTTACCACGTGTATATTCCTTCACTGTCGAGCACGTGATATATCAGCACTTAAATTGCAATTAACAATATCATTGGTGCCGGCAGTAAACGAATTCGTATTGCTCGTGTACTGCAGAATTTACGTCGAGCTCTTAACCCCTAACGTGCCACGGCCCATAAAATCGGTCTGGTAATAAAATTTTGACCATAAACCAGTTTGGAATAGCCTTTGCACATGCCTAGTGCTGGTTTTACAATATATTTCACTTTCACGTCCCGTCATACACGTGAAGTCTATTGTGGAAGGGATCCATTCGTAAACTTTGTTTTTTTTACTTAATATAAGCCAGTGCTTGGCTACTGTGATCCAGACCGAATTTCGGTCCCGGCGACCCGTCTCAACGGAGACTAACTATCTGCGCTGGGCGCAGGATTTTAATGTCCGAGTGTATGCGCAAGCACAAGTGCACTCTCTATTCACTCACTGTCATAGTCCGATAAGCCGATAATCCGACACGATCGTAGGGAGATCTGGCCTAGGAGCAACGGCTTTGCGTGCTTTCCGAGACACGGGGGAGAACCACCGCCAATTTCTGTGCAATGCACTGAGTCAAGAAATTGGCGGTCAATAAATTGGGTGACTGCAGTGCTTGACTACTGTCCCACCTGGTGGTAAGTAGCGATGAAGGCCTAGATGGTAAACCGCACTAAGTGTATCGAAAGCCTATTCGCTCTTGCCTTGAAGATATTGAAAGACAGACAACAAATTATTCAACTCTGTTTCTGTACGCATTACGAAAGACGAAACAAAAAAGTATTTTAAATGGTTATTAAGAATTTCGAGAATAAAACTGAAACTAGGTCAACGCGTGTAGTCTTAGAAGTAAAAAAGTTTTTTTTGCTTTTAACGTATAAAATATATAAATGGTAGAACCACCTTGTGGCTGTATTATAATTTATAGCTACAAGGTGGTTCTACTAATTATGTAATTAATTTAAGAGCCGTTGTAGGACCGTCGAACCCGGTCCCCGCCACCACCAATGAAATTAATCAATTTAACCGTGGTAGAGCCATGCTGTAGCTATATTAATTGTATAGTTGTAGCGCGAAAGGGTCGGCTCAATCGGCGAAGGACCACGCTCTCACAGAATACCAGTGTAAAAATAGCAGCTTAATGCTGCTGTGTTTCGTATGGTGAGTGTAGAAAACCGGAGACCCTTTTTACTGGAAAAGAGGCATTCCATCTTAGTGCTCATGGCTGACAACGCATCTCTATTTTGATTCGCAAACGAGGATAGATGTAGATGTCTATGGGCCACAGCAGCCACTTACCATCAATAATATAAAAAAAAGTTACTGATTACCATGTTATTGGTGGTGAAGGACAACATCTTGAGAAAATCTGCATGTCTGAAGAACAAAAATATTCAAGACATGCGAAAAAGTCGCATATGAAGAATAGGTAAAAGCAAATTGACTTTCAATAAGTATTACTTGTAATCTATATTGAATAAAAACTATTATATTCTATTCTGGTATTGCTGCTCTCTATTACCAGTCTGTGAGATTTAGGTTCAACAGTTCTGGTTAGGCATTCCGATATCAGTCAAAAGTTAGTCGCGTGCACCGCGACCATTTAGTGGGTTAGTGCCAATCTCTTACCCATTTCTGCCGCCAAACCAAGGTAAAGAGAGCCAGTTAAATTACAACCAGTGAAAAACTTGATTTTGTTTTAAATCGGTACCACCCACACTAGGATTTTCTCCTGTATCGTGGAGGCAGTTTACAAACATAAATTTTACTAGAATAAACATCGTGACCTGGAACAATTATTATTGTAAGTCATACAAATACTTGTTCCGTACGAGATTCGGATCCGCGGCCCTCAGCGCCACAAGTCATTGATATGCCACTGAGCCACGGAGCCGTCGGAATCTTCAGGAGTCATAAAGCCTATCTTTTTGTTTTGTGAAGTTGCCTGTCTGTGTCAATGGGCTGCAGTAGCCACCTAGCATCAGGTAAACGATCAGCTTGTACGCCATTTAAACACTTAGAAAAATCCAAACCTACCGTCACCTGGTGCATCATACTATTCAATCAACGAGCAAAGACGTTATTTGCATCACATAACGCCGCATCTTAATCCTACAGCTCGCTTAAACCTTTTTAAAAAACGTGTATTATATAGGATACCAAATGGAAAATTGAAAAGTACAAATATCCTGATTTCCACAGTTATGTTGCAGAGATAATTAACACTCTTGAAGAAAAAACTATTTAATTATTGGTTTTGTACAACGTAAAAATCTACTTTATTTTATTGAAAAATCGAAAAAGCCTGACATTTCCAAAATCCGATTAATTCAATTTTATTTATTGCCAGAATGTAGTACATAATATTATAATGATCTTATTCATTATTAATATGACCTTACATTCTTCCACGCCATTCCATGATAATGGCGTGGAATATATCTTTACTTATACATATACTAAACTATTATTATTATTATTAGAATTTAATAAAAAAAAAACCTTAAAGAAGCATGATCAGAAAATTAATTTATGTTACTATTTAAAATATTTTAGTGTTAAAGTTAACTCAAAAAAGTTCAATCCTCATAAGACCCCAAAAGGGCTCTAGGTGCAATATTTACGAAATCATTCTTAAATAAAGTGAACGCACTGTTGCTGTATTACAGGTGGATTTCAAGGAGTTCATCCAGGGCGTGTCACAGTTCAGCGTGAAGGGCGACAAGCTGTCGAAGCTGCGTTTCGCATTCCGAATCTACGATATGGATAATGACGGCTACATCTCAAATGGAGAGCTGTTTCAGGCTAGTCATCTCATTTACTCATGGTTCACAGAGTTGCACAGAAAAGAGCGTCTATAAATAACTGGTTTTTATATGGTAGAGCCAAGCTGCAACTATATTGCTTGTAGTACGAATAGGTCGGCTCGAGCGGGGAAGGACCACGCCCTCACATAATACCAGAGGGAAATAGCAGTTTTATGCTGTTGTGTTTCATATGGTGAGTGTAGAGAACCGGATATCCTTTTTACTGGAAACGAGGCATTCCATCTTAGTCCTCAGGAGGACAATGCATCTGCATTTCGAAACTTAATCGAGGATAAATATGGATGTTTATGGGTTACAACAACCGCTACCAAACCGCTAGACGTAGAAACCTAAAATTTGGACAGTAGCTGCCTTTTATAATGTGGCATCCACTAAGAAATGATTTTGTAAAATTCAACCCCTGAGTGACCGAATTAATGTGTACAGTTTGTATGAAACTTATTTTACTGGGCGATAGACTGGAAACTTACTAAAGGTACTCTGTAAATAAAATTAATATAAGACATTAAGTTCCAATCTGTTGTAACAAGATGTTCATCTGCATGCAATATATATAATACTGATATAAAACTATCAAATTTTCGTAGGATTGTTGTAACATTATTGTAGAAATAGCGACACGAGTGACCCCGATGTTCAATTGCGCAGAAGTCTATTAGGTGCGGGGCGCTGAACAGTCCTTCACGCGATGATCCGTCAGTCTCGGTCATAACCGCCTGCTTATTGATTAGTATCTCCTTTTATATATTACCCAGCACATTAGACTTTGGAACAAGTTTTTTGTAGGACTAACAAGCTTAAAGGTTAAAACAGTATTTAAAAAACGCGACTGCGTAAATAAGGTTTACTGAAAAGAGAAAAATTTTATACCTTTTGTCACCCACAACTACGATGCATCTAACGACACAACATATTATGTATAAACCTATTAATCCGAAGCCGTTTAGGTTACAGAGCGTACTAAAAAAATACACATACATATTCTCGAAAAACATTACCGGTATACCGGAATGGTTGAACTGATTGTGGTGAAACTTCACGAACAGGCAGAGAGCAATGCCAGGAGTGGCTATATTTAATCTGAAAAGCTTGAAGAGGTTTTTTTGTGGAATAAATAAAATAAATGGTTGTAAATAAATAAAATAAATCTTAAGTCTTAGTAATGACATTAATAGATATCACCCAGGCGTAGCTGGGGCGGGTCGCTAGTTAAGAATAAGGACGGCTATCCTTATAGTTGTAGCACGAATGGGTCGGCTCGACCGGGGAAGGACCACGCTCTCACAGAATACCAGCGTAAAATAGCAGCTCAATGCTGCTGTGTTTCGTATGGTGAGTGTAGAGAACCGCAGACCCTTTTTACTGGCAAAGAGGCATTCCATCTTAGTCCTGACAACGCATCTGCATTTTGATTCGCAAACGGGGATAAATGTAGATGTCTATGGGCCACAGCAACCACTTAACATCAGGTGGACTGTGTGCTCGTTTGTCACCCTTATTATATAAAAAAAAGTCGTTCTTGATTAGCTGCCCAGTTTTCACAGTCGGATGGTGTAATAACTTTCTAATTACAAAGTATATTCTGTTGTATATAATATGTAAATTGTTCAGTATATACAAATCATCACGAACCTCTTTCATCACAATGACTTCAGGTGCTGAAGATGATGGTCGGTAACAATCTCAAAGACACCCAGCTACAGCAGATCGTGGACAAGACGATCTTGTTCGCGGACAAGGACGAGGACGGCAAGATCTCATTCGAGGAGTTCTGCAACGTGGTGGGCAACACTGACATCCATAAGAAGATGGTGGTCGATGTCTAGGCCGTTTAGTTAGGCATTCAATGGCGCGAGCTGCTCGGGGACGATAGGCGAGACTTTGCGGATCTTGTTGCTGGTGGTCACTGTGGTCACAAGTGGTCGCTTGGCTTATTGTGCACACAAGGATTAAGATTCTGGTTACAATATAATATATTATAGTATGTTTATTTCGATGTGAATCTGTTGGGATTTTAGTGAATTTAATATTTGTTTGAGAATAAAAAACGTGTGCAGTTCACACGCGGTACAAGTGATATCTCCAGAAAAAGGTGATCGAGATAATAGGAAACACTGTATACTGTATTCTATCTCATTCTCTCGCGGGCTAAATCCTATAGACGTTTATTTTTGTCTCTTTTTAGTGTAGATTTTTCGTTTATTCGAGTTTCAAATCACAACGATTCTAAAGTTTTTACTCCAAAAAAAAAACAAAAGACAGGCCACTTTAATTTTATTGCAAATTGTGTTAAAGTTATATATTGGACTCTTTTAAGTGTATGAATTAAAATTTTGTTTCGATCGTGTAAATTTTTGTCTAACAACTCGACTCACAACTTGTGTGATTTATCGCTTAATGTTAGGAGTAAGAAATACTAAAAGACTAACATAATTATATATTTTTTTTATTTGATTACAAAAAGCTAAAAGAGGCTTTTCTGCATAATTATATACAAAAAGTGGCCTTGTGCTAACGTTGTGTTGAAACGACTCATTAAATAATATCTACACATAACATTATCTTCATGTTCACTCAACGCTCCACGAAGTAAATCTATTGTCTCTGCCTACGTCATAATTGCAAACAGCGCGAACTAATTAAGTCATTATGTTATTCAGTAAACCGTAATGTTTACATTTTTGTGCCATATCACGTGTTTTGTACAAATATTGTCCGATTACAATGTTCGTGTTTAGGTATATGATAGTTTGAAATAGAATAGAGCGATTAAAATAAAATCGCATGTTAGCAATTGACATTTGTTTGCGCGGGAAATGCACGGGAAATTAAATGCAATAGAGACTATTATGTCACTATCGTCTGCAGATTGTATGATTCGTGATTATACAAACAGTGACGTCCATTTGCAAACGCTTGCTGGCAAATTGTAAAGTGCCTCGTCACTTTGTGATACTCTATGTTGTAGTCCGATCGTTTGAGTTGGGCAGATCGTAAACTGCCCGGGCATTTAATGATACGTCCCCATTTCATGATTGGCCGATAATTAATAACTTTGACTCGTATTAATATAATATTAATGAGTACGAAAGCACAGCCTATTGAGTAATATCAGCGACAGTAGGTAACGGTATAATATATAAATGTTACATATGAAATGCCCAGGCTCATCACGATCTGCCCATTTCTACGATCGGACGACGACATATCAATTTGCCGATTTGTCTAATGACGTATCATACTATCTGCCGACGACATCACCGCCAGTGAAGAATGGGAAATATCGTAAGAAATTATAAATTGAAAAGTGTTTAAACAATAGAATGTACTTAAGACGGGCGCTAGAAACTTTTTAAGACAAACCAAAAATGTGATTATGTAGTAGAAGAGCGCGTCCCCGAGCAACTGTTCGCAATTTCTTAATTTACTAAACCTAATTAACACTTAAGACATGCATATTTACTTTACACTGTAGTGTACACAATATAGAAACTTTATTCATAGACAAATCGAATGTATTTTTATTATTTTGTTGCGATAATTTTATTAATTAGTATTGTTATTTAGTATGTTATTTGATTAGGTGTCGGAGTTCAAGTCCATCTGTACAGTAACCGTAGCTCACTGGCCATTGTTGTTTTGTTTGTATCGACTTGTTTATAATATAGTCTATCTTTTTGTGTTGATACGCGGAGGATATCCGAATTATATAAGACATCTAATTTTTAATCTACATGCAATATTATGATCCCAAACCCGTAGAAAATAACAAGCCTTTTACCTGGTAACGAAGCATTCCATAGTTCTCGGGGGTGGCAACACATATGTGTTTACTCGTTAGTCATCTTTGGATAAAAGAGCATCTTTGGAAAATCAAAACGGAATTATTTTGAATTCCAAACTTTATAATACTTATTTTTAACGAAATGGGTGTTTTATTAAAACTATACGTAATGCTTTGTATTAGTAATAATCTTTGCGTGTAATAGCAAATTGTTTTTGTTTCATAATTCAATTTAAAATTCTGTAATGTCAGACAGCAATAAAGAAAACCATCCATCCATTGCATATATTTCAGCCTATCAAAACTCCACTGCAAAAAATAAACCTCCATAGAATGTCTCATATGGGGATATTTGCCATAGTTGGCAAATATCCCGTGGCAACCGCAGTTTGTTATTATTTTGTGTTTTTATCAGGGAGATGATTTCCCAGTGTCGCCAGTATGACGCGCGATAAATAAAATGTTGTTAATATTTTATTTATTTTACATGAGTTAGTTATTCTTCATACTAAATAAAAAAATACAAGTCAAAATAAATACAAAAATCATATTTAAATGTTCATTGTTTTTAAAATAATAATTGTTTTTTAGATGTCTTCGGATATTCTCCGTAACATTGGTTGCAGTAAGCGTCCATATTATCTCCGAAAAGTATATCTCTTGTGAAAAGGGCTGTGCCCATGTTTTTTTAGCTGCAATATTACTGTTTTTTTTTTAAATTTTAATATAATATTCAATATCATATACAAAGTTCATTAGGTTATTTGAATTGATCGGCCCTGTTCACAAGATGTGGACTTAAGTCGCATGTATACATTAAAAATTAAACCTAATACTACGCCGTATCCGAATTTTATAAGATAGTACGTGCGAGTGTGTCGGTAGCTTGCAGGTCAGTTCCGGAGACGTGTGAGTGCATTCTTGAGAACTCCTTTTCCTTCTGTCCTATATCGAGTTAGTTTGACTGATTTGACGGTAGTAGCCGACGTCCCTGTTACAATTAACTGAATCAGGCGTTAATTTTGCGGAAATTATTAAATTATTAAAAAATTTATAAGCTAACCGTCGTAATGGAATAAAATCACATATCTTACCTAGTTTGAGAAGCACCTCCCGCCCTGTCTCAATTGCGTGCACTATGCCTTTCAATGACTAATCCCAACGCCACTACACTAGGAAAGACCACAGACACCACCGTCGACAACACGACACCTGTTTCTACTCTACACGAGGCATCCTCAGGTGAAGTAGACTGCGGCGGCTGACCGTTATCTTAGTGGTGACGGGGATAGTCCACGCATTTGATGGAAGGAGGGAGGTGCTCTTCAAACTACGTAAGACATCTTTTTTTTCACTAAGCAGATCTAGGCAAAGTAATTTTTACCATTTTTAATATAATGGATCTCCGGAAAGTAACGCCTGATTCTATTTAAAACTCGTATGTCGTTTTAGTTCTCTGAAAATGTAAATGTCCAGTTTCAACTTATTTCAGATATGTTTGTTGATAAAGTACGTTTATTAAAGTATTTAAGTATTGAGGATATAAATATTAATGTAAATGTAATTATCACTTCTTGTAAAGCATATTGTATCCATTGAATTACTGTAGCAAAGTTTTATAAGCCTTTGAACACGAAGTTGTCTCGAATGAAACCCAATCCCCACCTCATCCTCTACCGCCATAATTCCTCACCTAACCCTTTCTTCGCAGGTACAAGGAGCCCCCAAATGAGGGGATCCGTCACCTTCTTACCTTCAGCGCTACCTTGTTGCTAGTTCAGTTTTAACTTTTAAGTATATATTATATATGTCCTTGAGTGCGGCCGAGGGAAGAGATTGGTCACTTAATGCAGCTCTGTTAAGTTGGGAAACAAAATAATGATTACATGTTTTAAGTTGCAATACGTGTTTAAAATTTATATTTTAAACATATACCGTTTTATTAAAAACTCGTATGTAGCCGCACCCATGGATCAATATATGTCTATCATTGTACAAACTATTTTATAATAAGGGCCCGTTTAATGACGTCCGGAAATGTACGTTTATGTCCGCACGTCGGGAAACGTGCCTTAACTTTCTCGTTTTGTGTAAAATATAATACAGTTGTGTTCCATTTCAACCTTCTAATTAAGTTAGCTTGGCACTCGACCGATATGGGAAAAGACTTGAATAGTACACATAGACAAATTAAATGGGTTTATCGTAGGATAATGGAGACAAAATCGGTTATATTAATTTTAATTTGTAAACTTGGGTCAGATTTGATAGCTTGATTAGGCCAACTAACTTTTTAAATATAATGTATATATACAACATGTAACAAAAACCCTGCGGTTCCCGTCAAGTGCTTTATCAGAATCAGTATTCAAACGTATATAAATAACTTTACTTCAGAAAACTCTACCTTAAAAATATTTGCAAATTGTATGTGGGTTTATTATTACCCAAGCATTGGCCGCAGAGTTGTCAAAACCCCGCTTTACCGACAAGATACTGATGATAATGTATCTAACAGAGGTAATGGATCCTTTATTATGGTTTTGCCTTTTGTTTTAGCTTTGGGATTCTTAATCAAAAAGTTGGTAAACAATTGTACATAATAATTTTGTTTGACATTGGCATAATTGTCTTTTAGAGTAGCCGAAAAATAACAATTAGAAGATACGCGTGTCAGTTAGTTCAGATGTGAATAACATTTTTTCACGAAATTGAATTTAGTAAGTTACCTATTGTGAACAATAAATCTCTTTAATAACAACCAAAAAAAATGTACTGTCATAAATGGCATGCATATATGTACGTCTATATGTCCTTGAAAGGATCACCGGGTTGTTTGTTACAGAATATTATAATATATATATTATAATTTCGGCCACATCATAATCAATTTCTCAAGTGTGGCCCCAGCATAGCTGCAGTATTGCATAATATCAGAGTGCGAATATATTAATATTAAATGAATATTAAATCTACCGTTGAGTTTTTAGTTATTTTAAATTTTTTAAATCTATTAGAGTAGCGTCGCGTGTGTTGTTGTATATTAGTAAACTGAATTTAAGAGCCTGAACTGTGGGCGGCGAAGACTGTCGATTTTTATTTAAAACTGTATATAAATACATTTAAACGCACAGTTTTTTAGTATTCGTTTAAATAATGTAACAAGTAACTGCTGCACAGATTTGGAATGACTTAGAATTATTGCCTTTGTAATTGTATTTGCTGAGAATACGTAAGTCATAAGATTTACAACAAACAAGCTTGACGCAGTGTACTTAGGGCTGCTACCCATACGTTTTAAAGTACACAGTGCTAAATTTATATTTTATTTTTGAAGAGATAATTATGATGCATTTAAATGTTGATTTAATGTCTGAATAATATTTTATGCAGTATATTTATTGGTGATCTTAAACGTAATTAATTGATTTATGTTCGCTTCCAAAAGTGGCAACCCTAAGTGAACTGTGCTATTGGGTCTGTGCTTGCAGTTTGGTGTTAGTGTTATTCTAATTATCGTGAAGACGGCACGTCGCCGTACGGTTCAGTCGCGGACATGTTACGGATCGCGTTGAACGATCTCGCACTCGAGTAGATTTTTAGTTGAAAGCACTTGAATCTTGAGTATCTAGTCACATTCGTGCATTACATTTTAATTACATATATACGCGGCGGTACGTTACGCGAAGCGATCGTTCTGAGTTGGGAAATAATGTTGGTTGGCTTATTGTTGGTCTCGCGTTCTTTCCCCAACACTTCTTCAATCAATAAATCTTGAAATCTTACCGAGATTTTAAAGGTTCATTAAATTTTATTGGGGACTTCCGAGACTTCCCCAATCTTAAATAATAAATAAGAAAGATGTAAGGGTTAGTTCAGATTAGTCTGAAAACGTCTCAAAGCATCTTTGTAATACAAATTCCAATAAAGTTGAAAACTTATGCAAAAGGTTACTTCCTTTTCCATTAAAACAAACTATCTCTTGGTCTTACATAATATTTGCGACTATTTAAATTGGACACGAAAGATCAACTATCAGAAGAAAATGCTAATTTGAGCTAACTCTGTGTAGTGGGGAGGGAAATGCTTGGACATTTTAAACGTGTGTATAAATTGGCTTATTAATATATTGGGCAATATTTTGAAGTGAGAACATTGTAACGCTGTTGTTAGTTATATGAATCGTAAATGTGTCTGTATACTGGAGCCTTAAGGGGCGGCGTCGGCTCGGACTGAGCGTCCATTGTACACAGCTTGCGTGCCTTTCTTTACCTCTAAAATACTAGTACTTCTAATTTATAGCTCTAATGTTGAGTTATAAGTAAATTAATGCCCTTTGGTGTGACCTCAAAAGACTAATCGTTGCGGGATTATGAAAACAAAAAAATGATGTAACTATTTTCTTGAAAAGAATACAATAATATGTAAGAATGAAGCATCATTTTAAAATAAATACTGAATATTCTGTGAATCTATTGCCTATGAATCATTAACTAAGGTTTATATTTAGGTACAGTTTAGTAATCCCACAATGAATTATGAATTCTTAACAGCGTGACGCGCCGCCCCGTCGATGTAAACGTTCAACATAGTATCGTAGTCACACTTCGCTAGGAATGTCTGTAGTAGAATCGTTGTCGTGTCGTCAGCTCATCTCCATCGGTAGGTAGCGTGTCCTAATTAAGTCTGTTCTGAAGTGGAACTGAAGATATAAGTTTTATTAAATTTTCAAATTTCCTTGTTGTTTCATTTACTCACCTTAAAACCATGGAGTATAGAATAGAAGGAGGACCGTCTCTGTATAAAGGATGACTCACGCTAGACCGTGTCGGGTCCGAGCCTATCCCGTGTATGTAATTGCAAAGACGGGCCTCGACCGAGCAAATACCGTTGCGCCGTGATGCAGTATACTCGTTCGAGCAAAAAATAGTGTTGTAGCTAGACTACAAGCATGTTGAATTTTGACGATTTGGAATTAGGGGCTATTGCGATCACTCTGGACAATGAAGAATCTGATAAATCTTCTACTACAAGGAAATGGCCGAGCCGAGTCGAGTTGTTTCCGAGCGTTGTCCGTCACTCGGTTGCCGCTCGGTATAGCGTGAGTGGGTCCATACAAAATATATGTAATATTAGTTGACCGTGCTACGGCCGACATTCGGCTCGGACCCGACATGGTCTAGCGTGAGTCATCCTTAAGTGTCCGTAAAAATGCGTCCAATAAGGGTGGCGCTGCGGTAGCATACGATAAATTTAAAAAAAAGCGCCAAAAGTAATAATAAAAAGGAATAAGATGGAGAAATAAACAACGCCGACCGTTCCGTTTGGGTTTTGTACTACGTAAATAGTTGAGGTTTTGTATACTGGCATTTTACAAACTACTCTAGTCATGAAAATTTTTAAATATTTGAATTCAGCTGACTTCACTCCGTTCACAACAGCTATATTCATATCGTAGTTTTTCAGACGCCAGCGCTATTGTGGTAGGTTTTGGAACCTCTATTTTCAGTATACAGATGGAAACTTTCAACTTTCCCCCATATGAGATGGTTCTCCTTCTACTCTATACTCCATACTTGAAACGAACTTGTCATATATTTTGGATAATATACTGTCTGGAAAGATGTTTAAGTTTACAGATAGATGGCGTTACAGCCATTTTGCTCTTATGCGTTACAGCACCACGACTGACAATTTTCATTAAATTATAGATATCGATGGTGGCAAACAACGAATTGCGGAAAATCCTTGTATTATTATCATTACAGTCGTAAAAGTCAGCTATTGAGCACAGGTGAGATTTCCTCATACGGGGATCTTGCCATAGTTGCCACGCTTAGCAGCCGGGTTGGCAATCGCAGTTTTTTTAAATTTTTAGTTGTTTTCAGGAAGATGCTACTGTTTTAGTTTCCCTTTGTAGCCTTACGACACCCACGGGGCGATATGGCATAGTGGATATTATTACACTGTCACTACACTCACCAATCCTAATCCCTTTTACTGAATCATGGTGCAGCAGGTTTGTCATTGTGATAGTATCAACACTGTGCCCGCCTGTTCAGTTTTAAGTACGAAAGAAAGATAATATTTTCACAGCTACTAAACACACAAAACATGAAACACGGGATTCATCCATTCACTACAGTCTATCAAATATCCACTGCTGGACATGGCCTCCCCTATAGATTGACACAGAGGGGATGTTGGCCATCATAGTTGCCATGCTTGGCAGGCGGGTTGGTAACTACAGTTTTTTTATTAATTTGAGGTGCTAGGAAGAGGCTACTTCTCATATTCTAGTTCCACTGTCGCTTTTATGATACCCAATGATATGCTGCAGTGAATCCTCTTAAACTGCCACTACACAAATGATTAATTGTTTCCTAGGTACCTAACTATATTAGTATTGCGTAAGTCGATGGCTGGATATTTTATATACACTATCTATTCATTATAGCATAGCCTAAAACAAGCCTTTCGATATTTTATATACCTACACAGGTTTGCAATTGCAAGATCCAGCAACTTCCACATGCTAAGTCAAAAACTTTTTTTGAAATTGGCCTTTACGAAACACTTTCCGTAGGTCAAAAAATGGTGCCATCACTCCTATAAGTCCCTACTGTGGAAGACCTTGTGAGAAGCTAGTAAGAACTGTGTCACAAAAGTGATATTAATTTATTTCAAAAGATCTCTACATGAGTCCTTTGGACTGATATGGTAAATGACATGAATGGTTATAGTATATTATATTGACAACATCAGCTCCACACAACAATAATCCATAGGACATTAAGAAAGTATCCAAACATAATATTTCAGAAATTTTATACTACTAGAATTGAAAAATAGCACAACTGTTAACAAATTTATTTACACTAATATTTGAACTAAATACAACTATTAACACTAAACAAATTTGGTTGCTATTGACAGCAGCTTGGTATAGTCAGCTCCTTTAGCATGAGTCCTTTCCTTGAGAATGGTGCGCAGGATAGTGGGTATGGGAACATGGATGCGAGTGCCTAATGGTGTTCCATTGTCATCTATTAGTACCACATTGTTACTATCAAATTTGGGTACTTTAACATTTTGAATCTGCTTCAATCCCACAAGAATACCCTTTTTCTTCTGTCCTTTAATTGCCACAAGTACTCTATCTCCAATATAACCAATTCCTGCAAAAAGCATATTTAGTTACTTATTTATAATTTAATGTTTCTACATAAATATGTAAAGCAAAGGTCATTTATTTATATTTGTACACACTTTTTATAACAATTCTTTGATCTGTAATCTGCAAGTTTTAGCGAAATACATTGAGAAATATTAAATAAGTGTTTTTTTTTTATTTTGAAGTTCTAATTGTTAAAAGCTAGGTGGTCGTTAGAAATAAATAAAAATTGTTTAAGTACAGAATTCACAGTAAAATTGATCATAAAACAATAATTTCTAGTAAGATTTAGGAAATTATTACTACTTAGAAATTATTACTACATTTTTACTAGGTAACTATTAATAGGATATTAATATTAAAAACGTAACGAACGCTTTTTGTTGTAGACGCAAATAACTTTCGGTGGTTTTCCTTCTGCCATGGCTCGTTTGCCAATTTCTGAATTATCCACAACCCTTAGCCGTGTCAACAGTTGCACTTCGTTCAAACATGCTGTAGTGTGTAATCCACACGATAAGTTATTATAATAAAATTTGTTTAATACACTTCGGAACATGATATTATTTTAATAATAAACAATATTATTGTATATTAAAATTAAATAATTTTAAGGTTATACTTCAAATTCAATCTTTTTAACGATTTGATAACAAAGGAGCCTGACCATACAGCCAAGTCTGATTTATTAACATCAGCCTACCATTATGATTATTACCCTTATAGATATTTTAAGATCGTTAGTCTTCTTAACTCTGATATATTTTTATGACTGGGCAATTATTCTACAATAGTACATGGATATTTAAATAACAAATTATTATGATGATGAAATATGCTTATCAAACTGCAAAGTGAAATCACGGTAGATACTAGAGCCAGGCCTCTGTCACTCTTGCTACCTGTGTGAAATAATTACCTACAATCGCGAGCTGCCCCAGGGGTAGATCGCAGTCGGGGCTAGCGCGCTTTATACGATTGCATGTTAAAGTTTTTTTTTAACGATGTTTACGTAAATAATTTTTTGTAAATACTTGTTGAAATACTCGTCGAAATAGTTTTTGTCTAGTGTTTAGTATATTTAATTGTAAGATAAAATAGTTGAAAAAGTTTTACTGTAATTTTAGAATAATATATATGTATATTACCTATCTATTTGATAAATTATAATGGCAAAACGTCGTTCCTATTGTAATTGTTGCGGGGATGGGTGCTTAATGAGCAATTAAAAGGATTCAGACATATTTTTTGAGTTACCGAAGGATAATGAAAGGTAAATTTTTTTTGTTTGATAGCTATTTATAGCGAAAAAATAATTAAGTAATAATTTAACTACAGAAGTAATACCTAAGTACTTTATTACAAAACTTAGTTGAAATTTACTTCACTACCTAAGTACCTACTTACATACCTATACTCGTCTTTGTAATTAACATATTTTAAGTTATAATAGCACAAAATACTGAAATTAAAACTTTGTTTACAAGATTTTCAACTAACTAGATTACGATCATATTTCTGTTTGGAATCGTATTTCGTGTTTATTTGTTGTTTACGCTATTTACCTATACGAACCAAGTATCGGAATTCCCGACGAATGGCCTTGCAAGTTGCATGCGTTGGGCATCACAGAACTCACATAATAGATAAATATGGTCAATTATAGTCAGCATAGGTACTTTACCTAAGTAACTTACCATTTCACAATCTATTTTTTTACTCTTTATTAGCAGTCCTTAGCAACCACGGAAAAGGATTCATCAACCACGGACAATCGCGCGCAGCGATAAAGTTTTATTTAGCTTGCGCGATTTATCTGATTAATAATAATAGTTATTATTAAGTAGGTAGGCTATTAAAACGTCGGCAAGCAGTCAACATCAAAAGAGTGTAACTTCTGTACGTTAGTACTAATTATTTATTCTGTGCTAGAGCATAGAGATACTTCTAAGTCAGTGGACTAGAGACACCCAGCTAATTTGCTACTAAACTTCAACGGAGTCGTGATTTCCTGGTTCTTTCGGTACTATGTAGTTTTTGTTCAATAATGGTGCAATCAATGAAGGAGTTAGTAATATTACGCGACAGGTTACACAAACAATAGTTTTTAAAATAAAAACGCTGAATATCTGAGATTTTTATTGAGAACTAGCGACCCGCCCTGGCTTCGCCTGGGCAGGTTTAAGATTGTCGAAGAGCATTTATACTATCAATTTTTCGTTTTTTTTTAATTAAGTTGTTTGGATAAAATGTAGCCTATGTCACTCCTGGTATTGGTCTCTTCTACCTGTTCGCAAAGTTTTATCACAATCGGTTCAGCCGAAGTTTAGCCCGGGTATAACCTCCAAGTAGTACTAGAAACCAATCAACTTAAAATTTCAATTAATTCAGTCAAGGAATAAGCTATCGTTAGGAAAACAGGTTGCTCTAAGACTCTAAACAAAGCTAGCCTTCAAGGGTTCACATTGTACTATGCACTGTATTCTGTACAGAGTACTTATTTTTGTGCGTTAAATGTATGAAAAGTACAAAGTACAAATCCAAAAAATAGAGTCCTTATTGAAGGCTTTATTGAATGTTGCTACATTTAACGAAAATCTTAATAAAATAATATCTATAATAAGCAAAATGTCATATGTAATGTATATATACATACATATATTAATATATATGTTATGGTATTTGGTAGCAGAAACAGAAATTAGTTCACTTATAATTTCACAGTTGAGAAACTACTTTGGTATATTATACTAATTCTTATAAATCAAATACATGTGAAGTTCCTGAACCAGAAACTAATAAGAAGTACTAGCGCAGTCTGAACTATATTTTATAAGAACTACTAATTACTATTGTTATACGAACCTCCGCCATAGAGGTCTCGCAGTGAGATAATTTAGGTGGAACGTTGTTGCCACTGTCCAGACGTGAATTGTAGGCAAGGTATGCGCCAGTGTGCTATTCGGTTTTACCAGTGGAGGCAGTGTAGGCCGACAGAAGATTGTCTCGACCGCTTTGGCAAGAGACCAAAAAGCTTTAGTGCCGGATTGTCTGACAGAGAGTTTTGCGCCAATATGTTTAATGCGATCGAGAATAGCTTTCCGTAATGCTTTTTTGTAGGACTAGGCCTGGTTGAAATTTCTCTTCTTGGAGCTAATATCCGGAGCATTGCGGTTTCGAGCGTCAACCCAGGATAGGTACGCTAAATGCATGCTTTTCAGCTTGGGCTCATTCAGCGTTAAACCATGGGCAAGTTTTGTTACCGGTGCGGTGGGAGCGTCAGAGAAGGGGATAAAATACTACGTAGCTTGACACAACACATCGGCTATCGCATCCGGACAGTCGAGGGATTCGCAGAATAGAAACAGACCTCCCTCTAAAGATAGGATGCAAAAAAAGTGTCGAATCTCATTCCAACAAAACAGTGGTCAGATATACCCAAAGGAGAGGTAATCTGTACTTGATACCCGTCTGGTTCGGTAGTCAGCAGAACGATTTTTTTATGTTTAGCCATACTTCCCTTTCTAAGATACATATTAAGAGGTCAGAGTGAATAAGTATGGAGAATGACAGTAGAAAGAGGCGTTGCATTAGAAACCAAACGTTTCTATCAGAGTTACTGCGCCCGTGGGAACTTGATCTAGAGACTGCGAGGACGCCCGAACACCCCCCCCCCTCCCCAAGGATTGCTATCGGGTCCTCTCACCCGGTCGCTAATCGGCATGATGGAGCCACCCTAGGAGTTTTCGCTATTTAGCGGAGCAGCCTTTCATGAGTAGCTAATTCACTAATTGGGCTCCGAACTACCTGCGGTCGGCCGGCGGAATACCGTGCTTTGGATTCCGCTACCCTCCACGACCGAGCACCCGACACAGCAACAACTGACTCTTCACACCCGGTTCACACACACAATGCTACTGTTTAGACCCATTCTCTATATGGCTTCACCAAGCACCATGCCAGCCGGGCTATTCACAATCGTCTCGGAAAGCGAATTCGACTCGGATTCGATAACTTCTCGCACCGAAACCAATAAACGCTATTCACATTTAACGTTCGGATAAAGGTCACTTAGATACATCCCATAACTATTGTATCGTCATTTAGTTACATGCATTTACGAATTTTGTAGATAAATAGGCTTTTGTATTTTTTTAGAGTAACACCTAAACAAAAACATAATGCAATATTTTGGTGTTAGTTATTAAAAAAAAAATGGTAATAAAAATATATATATTTGATTATTAATTTGAACTGGCTAATAGTCGGGGATCCACGGTATGTACCCTAATGTGAATAGTTGTGATTAAAGGGATGCGCGCGTACTGTACTGTTCATACTCGTATGTTGGGCGCTGGCAGAATAACAGCCTTGTAGGCAACTGCAACATTTATGCTGAGCTAGAGCCCATTCATTACTACATTATGTAATTCTTGTTATTTCTGTATGTACTTTATTGGTGGTAATGAATAAATGCTTATTATTATTATGGGGTATTTGTATAGTTTTCTCATCTGGTTGGGCTGTATAAATATATAATTGTAAATGAAAATGATAAACTTACATAAATATCAATAAAATAAAATAAATACATAAAAATTACATAAATATATAAAAACCCAACCAGATGGAAGCCCTCGGCAGGGGAGACCAAACGGCCGAGGGTTAGGGGGAAAGGGAAAGAAACCGGCGGACGATGCGGGCGGTATCGAGGAGCACCGCCTTCTGCATTTGAGCTTGGAGCGATCCGTCACGGAGTCCCAGTCGCCTCAGATGACCCGAGAGGCTGACTGGGATTAACCCGTTCGCAGAGACGACCACAGGAATAATTTCGGCCGGCAGACCACCCCACATGTCGGTCACCTCGTGAGCCAGGTCCAGATATTTTGTCAACTTATCTGTTTCGGCTTTCACGAGGTTCTCGTCATAAGGAATGGTAATGTCGACCAAAAATATCCTTGACTGTGCCCGGTCCATCAGCACAATATCAGGCTTATTCGCAAGAATAGTCCTGTCCGTGATGATGGCCCGGTCCCAGTAGAGCCTGGCGCGGTCATTTTCGAGCACGGCTTCCGGCAAGTAATTATAATATGGCAGTTTCCGATCCACGAGACCGTATTTCAGAGCGAGCTCCTGGTGTAGAATCCTGGCTACTAGGTTGTGTCTGTGCAAATACTCAGAGTTAGAAAGCGCCGAACAACCGGAGATGACATGCCTAAGTGACTCACCGGGATGGCGACAAGCTCGACAGATGTCGACGGCGCCATCCTTTAGGATGTATTTCCGATAATTGTTGGTCTTAATAACCTGATCCTGTATCGCACAGACAAAACCCTCGGTTTCCCCAAAGAGGTCACCGAAACGTAGCCAGTGGAGGGAGGCGACTGTGTCTACGCAAGGCTCATGTAGAGCCTTGTAGAACCTCCCGTGGAGCTCCTTCTCCTTCCATACGGTCTCCCGGTCGGAAATGCTCTGTACTGCCGGGTCTTGCCATTGCTCGTTGGCTAAGGATAGAGGGGTAAGTCCTTTATCACAAGAAATAACGTCCCTATAGAATGG